TATAACTTTTCTTTTCAAGCATTTAAAAAAAAAATACCATAACTGTTTGAAATTATTATTGTAATGACTATTTCTCCGATTATATTAATGCTATAGCAAATATTTAAAAAATATATTATTTTGCTTCTTAAAACCAATATATTTTGAAGATAAAATATAAAAATTTAATTAGCTATGGTATAGTAATAAAGTCTTATTCTTTTTTAAAAAAAGTTTTTTATATGACCTCACATAACATCGCGCAATGTGATCTCGCGTGAAGTTGTGAATAAATGCTAGTTTGACCTCGCGCAAGGTACATCTCTAGATGCAATATATTAAGTATAATAAAAAAAACAATAATAAAAAATATTTTTCACATGTATATACATACGTATCTTTTAGCATATAGTCATTTTTATTATTTTAATTATCCATTTGAGGTTTTTGAGATTTTTTATAAAATAAACATTTATAAAAATAACAACTTACATCCAGGTTAGATATACTGCTTCTAATAACAATAGTATTAGCATTAATACTGTATCTTCTTTCATCATTTTTTCTTTAGTTTTTTTTTTCTTTCTTTTTAATTTTTTTCTTATTTTTTTTCAAGACATTGAGGTTTAAACTACCATATATTATTTAATATTAGTGCCTTAATCCCCCGATCACTATATCAAGATCACGGGAGGATTAATTAATAATATCCTGACTGTATGTGAATAAGCGGAAACGAAGTTTCCGCTAATTCCCAACGGATCAGGATATTATTATTACAAATATACTGATCTGATCAGCCATATCATCTCCGCAATACCTATCCTGATATAGATGCAAAAATTGACTTAAATAAAGTGTAATAAAGATTTTCATAAATGCAGAAATCAGATCACATCAAAAATTTATTAATCAATATTTATCAATCAAAATTTATCAATTATAATAATGACACTACGTCACGTGTGGTGCTAGTAAATGATTAAAATTGCTTAGTACAAATAATGCGCTATATATATTGCTTATTATTGGCAAAAATTGCATATCTTGAAATTGTTAGATTTTAGCAAAGTATATATGAGCTATTAATATATTAATATTTATAAATATTTAAAAAGCATAAATTTAATAAAGCATATTTATAAGGAGGTGTCAAAATGCTAAAATTTATATAAACTACATCAATACTAAGTAATTATTCGTCAGCCCACTTTTTAACCCATTCTTTAACTTTTTTCAAAATCTCATTAATCTTTTGCTTATAAACAACATCTTTTTTCAAAACCTTTTCAGCTTTTTCATAACACATTTCACATTCTTCCTTAAATGTTTCAAACATTATAATTTCCAAATATGCCATCGCTAAGGCAGTGCATAATATTTTCTCATTTTCAACTTCAATAGCCTTAAAATCTTCAAAATTATTTTTATCAAACCAAGAATAAAATTTAGTAGATGGCAAAAATGAACCATCAAATGATTGAAAATCGAGAAAATTATAAAGAGTTTCAATCTTTGGAGGTTTTGATTTTATAGTAGCAGCCGGTAAAACTAGATTAGAATTAAAAATAGCTGCTGGTAAAACTGGTGCAGAATTAAGAGTAGCAATTGGTAAAACTGGTGTAGAATTAAGAGTAGCTGCTTGTAAAGCCGGTGATAAATCTGGTGAAGAATCGATTTTTACAGAATCAAGTCTGTTATCAATATCATAGCTTTGATAATTTAAAGAACTAGGTCGTGATTTCAATAGTTTACTGGAGGTTGATACTACAGAAGCCGATCTGAACAATTTAAAACTGGAACTAGATTTTGTTTTTTTACTTTTTGATTTAATAAGTGACACAGGAAGTTGAGAAGAATCAGCAAAAACTGGAACTATTCTTTGGACTGGTAAATTTTTGGCTTCAGCTATTAACTTATTATCTCTTTCATCAATTGCAAGAAAGCTAATTATATCAAAAAATGATTAATATTAATGTTAGTCATAAATACTTCCAGAAAATTAAGGTCATCATCGGGTGACACTGGAGAAAAAAATTAAATGGCAAAAATGGAATAATTGGCACAATAGGAATTTAAAAAAAAAAAAATTTTTTTTGGAAAAATTGGGTCAGCGAGTTATTAGGGTGATCATCAAACTAATAAAATCAAACCATAAGTAGCGTAATATGTATTATTTACTATTTGGAGATTTTTTA